TTAGTACTCATGTAATAATTAGAGCTCAAAATTCATTAAAAAGATAAAAAATATTTTCAACATTGGTAATAATAAGAAATGTTTCTTGTGCACCAACTCAACTTATTAGATTTCTGAAGGATTTTCTTCTGAAGGAGTAATGGCTGCTAAAAGGAATAAATTACATTTTAAAATACATTAAAATAGAATAAGTAATTTTAAATTTAAAATAATAGTTCACAATATTACTGGTTTACTGTAATGTTGATCAAATAGTTGAAGCACTGGTGAGCATAAGATACTTCTTTTTAAAACATTCAATAAAGTATGTGTTAAGGAGGTGTAAATACATTTTTTAAAAGTGCATTTTGTTGTCATGTTTAGTTTAGTTGTTTTGTTGTGACCTTTTCTACTCAAAATTACATGTAAATGCTCCGAAATGTACAGTATTAGCTCTTGATTGCTAATTTAATGTTTTACTTTACATTCTTATTCACTTTACTCAATTTATGCCAAAGATTTCACTCAATTTTATAGCATTCAAATTTACTATAAAAACAGCGGCATTGTCATTAAAAGTAGATCAAACGGATACTTTTGTTAAGTCTCCTGCTTCTAATTTTTCTCCTGAGAAAGACTCACATAATCTCACGTGTCACTGTGCCAAGAGACCCAAATCTGCAATGAAGTGTCAGATATTTCAGTACGAACACAATTATTTCTCATCAAATTCTCCCAAGACCAATTTATCTGAGCAATGCTATCCTCTTTCATTTTAAAGCTCTATGCTTTTACTCTACGTATACCACGTTTTAAGAGAAACACTTTGGACAAAGTTGATACTTAAATGAAGCACAACATCAAGTCTCCTGAGCGTTGAAAGAGTAGCATTCTCCTGTGGGTATTTCTATTGTGTTTGTTTACCTGTTCTTTTTTAGGCACTTATTTTGCTGTCTCTCACTGGAAAATAAAGATTCTTTCAACAAATAAATAAATACTTCAGCCTACAAACATATACACACACACACACACACACACAACCTCTCCACCCAGCTCACCCTGTGACTGAGCAAGTCATCCATTTATACGCTTCACCTCGGGAAACACTGGGGGTCACTTACTCTCTATTACTTTCTTTCTCTCCATCTCTTGATTTCTGCAGAGGCAGTGTCATGACAGTAATGTTAATCTTGTCCTGTGAGACAGAAATGATGACTGAATGAAAGAAAGGAGGGTGAGACTGCAGTAATAAAGTGCTCTCTCTCTGTCTCTCTTTCTCTCAGCCAAGGTCTGTTGAACTCTGAGGTGAAGAGTGAAGTTGTGGTCATCACTGCTCTTATTTTCTCATTGGGAGATCCTCTCTGTGTGATTCCACATGTTGGGATCAGAAAGTAGAATAAGGTTGATGCAGAAACTGTTTTTCTGAAGGTGCAGATTTCATCTGTCTGGTGTTTTGTTATTCTCTTATTAATCAACACTTTGGCAGACGACTCTGCACACAAAGCAATTTACTGAAAATAACCAATCATCAATATCATGGCCATGAAACTTTCATGCATAAATATTAAGAAGTTTAAAACTCCATTCTTTCTTCCAAATTGTGAAATTACCTTCTAAACGCAACTAATTTTGTATAAATCATTTATTTAATCATTACATTCACAACATGTTTTTGAAGGCATACACTGTCAGAAAAAATATCAGTGCAAAAACATATAATGTCCTGGAAGAAAATAACCAATACTTTTTACGTTAAGTTTACAGACATTTCCTCTAACTCTAAAAGATAACACAATTCAATGTGTAATTTAAAATGATTAAAACACCTGCGAGAGATCAATACAGAAATGTCATCATATTAACAGTGCATTGGGCCTTATTTTTATAGACTTTTCTTAGAGTGTATCAACGGATATAAACTTGCAAATTCACTATTAAGGGAAAACTAATGCATAAAAAACCTCATTACACTAATAATCCATGTCTGCCAACAAAACCACACCGCATCAGCCAACTAAACTGAACACTTCCACAGTTCTACCTATAGTCATCACACTCAATAAATGCAGATCCACAGTAGACTGTTCTGCCAACACTATGACAGCATTGTCATGTTTCTTTAATAGTTGCTAGTCATTTATTTTACATAATTTCCTTTTTAGATATTGACACCATATAGTAAAAACAATCAAGTAATCATGTTCTTCATTTAATTTTTCATTGCACTCCAAACAAACAACTGTTGTGAAGTGTGAAGTATCATCTCAGGTGAAGAGAACAGGTGCACATTAAATCAATTTGCAGTTTCAGTATATTATAATGATTTCTGAAGAATCACGTGGCACCAAAGACTGAAGTAATGGCTAGTGAAAATTCAGCTTTGCTATCAGAGGAATAAATATTAAAATATATTAAAAAAAGAAAACAGTCATCAATTGGAGTAACATTTCACAATATTAGTATTTTTACTGTATTTTTGATCTAGTAAATGAAGCATTGGTGAGCATAAGAGCCTTCTTTTTAAAAACATTTAAAAAATAAATAATTCCAAACCTTTTACCAGTCGTGTGGTATACACATACACACACACACACACACACACACACACCCATACCAAATGTAGGCTATGTATCTGTATTTAGAACTTCAAAACTGGCCTGACAGCTGAATGGAGAGTCACACACACACACAATGGCACAAACACAATTAAACACACCGGTTCTCTGTGAACGCTTTGATGAATTATTCACACCACACTAGATAAATTAGTGGGACTGAATGAACAGGGTCTGGTCAGCTGACTACACTCAAATCATTTTAACTGAAACCCAAACCAGCTGCAGAAACCTGAGATTCCCGCTCTGACCCAGACATCAGCCATTCCAACAAGTAACAGTTATTTGTCACAGTTAACAGCCTGTGAAAACACACACAATAATGCAGCCAAACATCTTTATAAACACAAACACACACAATACACGTGCCGTTCGAGTGTATGAAATTGGTAATGAGATAATGAGAGGAAAATAAGCATCATCTAGCAGCTAAACAAAACATTAGCATTACAAAACAAATTCTTGGCCGAAAGAGAGTGCTATAATACAATAAAGAAAAAAGGAGAGCGATTATGACTGGAAAGAAATATTTAAAACCAAGGTTAGTGCATTAAAAATACACCAGATTCTTACAGGCCTGCAAATGTTCCACCTCAGATGGTACAAGTCAAATATAATTAGCACACTCTCTCGCTTTCTCTATCCCTCTTTCTCTATGATTAATAAATCATTTTTATAAAGCGACTCTCTCTTTCCTGTCAATATACAGGCTAATTAAACTTGCTCTGGGTCTCAGTATGGGCAGATCACTGCATTTGCCCCTTTTCAACCATTTACATTGGCAAAAGCTTTCAGATGCATCCAGTGAGTGAGAATGAGTGTATCAGTACAGCGAGGCCCGTCCCACATGCAGTGCTCGGGTTAAACCACTTTCACTCTAACAGCAGATCCAGGACCTGCACACAAAAGAGCCAAATCAAATAAACTACTACATTCAGTGGTGATTCACAAAGGATTATTTCAGCAGCCAGTATCAGCGGGGCATCTGTGTGTTCCTAAGCCTTTTGCTCCCAACAACATCCTCCCTCATAGCGAACACATAACCAGCTCTGTTAGGAGGAGAATAAATGCGCACTGTGGCCCAAAGGGAGTCATATCAGCCAACAACATCAGCCAAGGCAATGCAATTACTGTGGAAATTATAGTTCCAACTACAAATTCAAATGGCCATATTCAGCAATATTCATTTTTTTCCTGTCTTTTATCGCTCTCCCAGAGTGATTTGGAGGATTTATAAAACGCTTTATCTCATTTGGTGCAATTTACTGATGCAAAAACAGCTTAAAAAGAAGTTAAGATGTATGTGCGAACCCCACTTTTATTGCATTTTGAGTCGTAATGGTTCAGTTCAGTAGAATCTTTTGTAATGAAGTGATTAAACTGGATCACAAAACCTATTTGAATGATTCGCTAACGAATAAGTGTGAAGCATTTGTTCAAGGCGCAATAAAATGAATCAAATCGATTCCAGTGATTCACTGAACTGACAACCATTCATAAAACATGATCTGAAACCCTATGAACTGTGAGAAATAGCGTTTTTAAAAAATAACAAAATTTTTAGCCAGTGTAAATAAATGTTAGTTACTGATATTATGTTGTGTTTAATGCAAATGCAAATTATATGCCTATTTATGTTCTAAGTGTCATTTTATGAGGTAAATCAGGGCTAGAAGACACTGAACACTTGCAAATGACGAAATTGGAAATGACGGAAACATTTATAATTTTATTTGAAAGTTACTGTTCGAGAGAGCGAGAGAGAAATAGTCACAAAAAGGATTCGGACTTCCCATCATACTTCCTTGAAGTGAATGAGTTGGTGGCCGTATATGTGCGCGTGACGGCACATCTATGCTCATGCTAGGCTCCGTGTGCTGAAACCAAAGACCTTTACTCTGTTTGCACCCTTTCCAACCGGGGTAAGCTGATTTACTGGGGTAAGCCTGACTTTTACATGGCATGTACTGTTAATGCGGTAAGAAGACGAAGCACCGTCAACACACACACCCTTGCTCTCCCGCGCGCGCACACGCAAACTCATCACACTCATTGCCCTTTATACTCTATGATATTATTTCTTAATCACGCTTGACACAAAATAGTCCAGCTTTATAGCTCCCAGGATGATTCTCAGGTTTACACACAGGCTATAGACTGCCTATTAAGTTTCAGTGACCCGCGTCACGATCAGAATGCATGACTCACTAAAGCAACGAACTGTCATAAATCACTAAAACAGACGATACCCGGTTATTTTCAAATTGATTCATTCTTTTTTTGACTATGTGGAATAGGCTACTAAACACCATCCTGTTCTTCTTTGGACATCTACGTTGTGAAATTTTTATTTAAGCACATGTAAAATATAAGTGTCAAACCAAATAAACAGCAAAAGCTGCATACCTGTTGGTGCGGTGGTCCGGATTATTGCCCAGCAGCAGAGACGGGTCTCATTGCCCTTCCATTATGATTTATTCCATCCACGAATCGGAGAGGCTTGAACAATCCGCACCAAATGAGCTCTCCTATATCTACTCTGTCAGAGAGAGTCAGAAACCCACAAACACAAAAAAAGAAGTTCAGCCCTCTGATCACAAAAGCGCCCGATGTCCCCGCAGGGCGTCCGGGCGCGCGGAGACGCAAAGTTCCTTCTCTCGCGGCGTCTCAGACCTTTATCTCAACTCAAATGAGAGCGGCGTGAAACTTGACATCAGCGCTTTCGCGTCTGATTTAAAAATCTCACAGATGTTAGTAACGGAGCCATCACCCCACGTAGTATCCTGTTGGGCTTGGTTTCACGGTGTGTGTCCGCGCTGGAGACGCTCTGCGCAGGATCTGGATCTGCTGGTGCTGAAGGCAAAGGTCTGGAGCGCTGTGCTGCGCTGACTCGCTCCCTGTGTGCTCTCCAGGGATGTCAGAAAGAAGCCAACGCACAGTGAATCAGCGCCACTCAGCGGCGTCCGTGACAGCTATCCTGCCGGTTCTACTCTTTCTGTGCTTATTAGTTGTTTTTTTTATATTTTACAGGTTCATCTGAGTGGCATAAGCCTTCGCTAAACTTGCCATTTGAACGCACAAAACCTGATTACTACATATGTGTTTAAGGTGGCAGGAAACAGATTTGTCCGACTATGAGAAGTCTTATGAACATACCAATAAAATATTACTTTAATTAACACATGAACTTTTACAATGTGTCAATAAAGGAAATTTTCTTAAAACATTAACAAAAATTCAGAAGCACTTTCTCCATGAGGATGATTATCTTATATTTTGTTAGGATTGTCAGAAGAGGATGATCTTAATTAAACAAGCCTGTTAGCATGATTTTGTTTTGATTCTTGCAAATAAAAAAAAGTAAGTCATGGCTAAGTGAAATCTAAAACATAGCTGTGCAATAATAATTTTGAACGTATGTGTCACATTTGCAAAATCTGAAAATACAGGTGCATCTCGATAAATTAGAATGTCGTGGAAAAGTTCAAAGATTTGTTTCAAGTACCTTGGTTGAATTTTGACAGCTCTGACAACTGTTCGATTCTAGTATTTAATGACGTAAAAATAATTAATAAAATGTTATTTTTTCAATAAAAAATTGTGTAATTGGGTTAAATGATGTATAATTACCATATATAGAATAACTTGTTAGAATAATGAGTAATGGATTTGGTTTAAAATGTGAAAATCTTATTTTAAATGTGAGGGTGGGCACAGCAATTTTTACCTTGACTGTGCAAAGTTTTTTAATTTAGTTTTTCAATGAGTTATTAAAGCTATTCAGAAATAATCCATAATGCTACGTGATGATGCAAACTGGTATTTGTTATTATATTATTTAAATGTATTCTCATAATCATAAACACACTGGTTTTTAGTGCAAAGAGTTTAATGGTTTACTGCACTTTGTTATTCTCCTAGCCGCTAATGAATTGGAAGTCTTACACATTCACAGGAACCTACCTTTTGAGAAATAATGTGAATAACACATAAAATCATAAAGTATTATATATATCGCAAAAAATAATTTACACAGTGAGTGCTTTTAGTGGGAAACTAAAAGCCATAACAAAATGTATTTTAATTGAGGGTCATAGAGATACATGACTGTTTTATTGATTCCTTGAGCCAAATATACTATTCGAAATGATTGCCATTGAATCGAGTAAAATGTCTCTCAGTCTGTACTGTACTTTTGCACTTGGGTCTCATTTTGGCACCAAAGAGGCATTTGACAAAATGAACCCCCCTCAACAGATGAAGATTGAGCACTCTTGGCTCGGTTGGTCTGAGTGCCTCCCCCACAGCTGAAATTCAATAGAAGTCACAAAGAGTGATACATATGTGTTAGACTTCTTAAGTGATGTATAATGCTTGCAGTGTGTAGGGTGGACAAGTTTCCAAGAGTCATAGAAATGTTTGGTGAGAGAGTGAAAGAGATATGGGGGATAAAAAGGGAGACAGGGGAATGAGATTGAGAGAGAGAGGAACAGACTAAGGAAGAGAGAAGTAGAGAAAGACATTTGGCAGACATTGTTAAAAGCCTTTCAGAAGGTATTTGCTGTTGTCGATACATTTGGCTCAAGATTATTACACCTGAAAGTAACTAATGCTTTCCATTACACTTCAAATCAAAGCTTTTCAGAGACATCTTACTGTCTCTTCTCTCACTCGCTTTCTCTTCCCTTGAGGCTTTGGTCTGATCTAAGATCAGTTGTGAATGTTCTTCATGTAATAGCATTAGATGAGGCCAAAAGCTCTCAGATCAGCAATAAAATCAAACCCATCTGTTGGGTCAAACTGGGTTTTATGGGCTGGTCTGACATGTTACAGCCAGTGAGACCAGAATCTGAGAGAAAATATAAATTGTCAGCCATTGTTTAAAGCTAACGTGTGTTTCAGACCAAAACAGATATCTGTTTTTACTGTTGATATCTTATGTGAGTGGCATCTCCTATCATACAGACCAATATGTGTGTGTGTGTGTGTGTGTGTGTGTGAAAGAGTGAATGTGCTGTTGACATGTTTGTTTGCTCTGCATTAGACCCTTTCACAGCAGGAGCGCTGCTAGACAGACACAACTGGGCTAAAGGCTAACAGGGGGTATGGCGCTGGGTTAACAGCTGTGTCTGGGGCAAGAATGAAGCATAAACGTAACAGTAGAAGCATAAAAACAACAGTAAAAAATGGAGAGAGCAGAGACACTGATGCCAACTTTGGATCGACATAAAACGGTCTATTATTATATTGTAATCATTATAATCACAAGCTGTAATCATTGCCTAACATGTTCATTGTGTCTACTTAAAGCAATAGTTCACTCAAGAATTTGCTGAAATTTTATTCACCCTCAGACCATGGAAGATGTAGATAAATAATAATCCACAAGTAGTCTGACTCAGACAAAACTACTTTTTTACTGGAGAAAACAATGTTATAGAGGACTCATATCACGTCTCAATGATTGAATTGTTTATTACAAGATTGCAGATTTTTACTTTGCAAGATTTGATGGACTAGAGTCATGTCGATTACTTGTGGATTATTGCAATGTTTTTCATAAGTTATTTGGACTCTCATTCTGGCGGCACCCATTCACTGCGGATCCATTGGTGAGCAAGTGATGTGCTAAATTTCTCCAAATCAGTTCTGATGAACAAGCAAACTCATCTACATTTCAGATGGCCTGAGGATGAGTGAATTTAGAGTAAAGTTTCATTTTTGGGTGAACTCTTTCTTTAAAAATATAGTTCATAATAATATTGTTTTATAGGCCTTTTTTTTTTAACTTGCTGGAACATTGTTGATCACACTGCTGATTGCCACAACTGATCAGTTGAATATTCCAGAGAGCCATGAATATAACTGTCAATATAACTTTGTTATGATGCTTACATTGTAAAGCCTTTAAAATAGTAATTAATTCCATAGTCATATACGTGTACATTACATTTGAATTTTACTTAATAAATGAATGTGGAAGGGACAATTAAACATTTAGCTGAACTTTAGCTTCTAACTTTGCTTAGGTTGAATTATTCACACACAAAAACTAATTGTAATAAAAATAATAGTTTGAGATCAAACAAACATTGGCAGACCCAGCTTAGAAATCTGATTTAAACATAAGAACAAAGAGAAAGTGGTAGACAGTTTTACCCCTGCAGACAGTAAAGGATGGTGTCGTTGGTGGTGTCAGCTCATCTGTCAACACTCATCAGGGTCAGTGGCTCTTTCCACAACACAACATCTCAACACCTCTATGTCTAACACACTTCAAAACAACAATTAATTATCCACATAGACTCTCTGAGCTAGCCTTCTGCCCTTGTGTATTTCACAGGTCTGACAGGGATCATCAGAGCAAAGCTGTGTTTGTGATCTCAGTTTCAAAGAGTTTAATTACAGTAATTTGATGAATTACATACTCAAACTATTTATACACACAGTAATAATAATTATACCCATGCTGAAATAACTAATCCCAAAGCCATCTTTTTAATACCTCAGCTTTTTCATCTAGAAAGAAATTAGATAAAACTGAGAGCAACGGGAACATCCTGCTTTTCAAATGCATCTCCTGAGACAAAGAACCCAATAATCTTGCATGTGATTTCAAAGCATCTCAAATGGAGCTAAGATTCCACAAAAATTCTGAAAATCAAGCCAGAGATTTCAGTTTGAAATCGTTGTATTATTTCACTACCAAATTAACTGCGCTATGCTATCCACATGAGCTAAATTCTCATTATATGTCAACAAATTATCTTCTTTTTATCTATTTTTCTCAAAATCCCCCTTTTTGAATCTTTATTTTTAAATGTATATAAAAGACCAAGCTATGAAAACAGTGTTGTATTTCTGTATCACCCAGTCAATGAGTAAAAAGGGAGGGAGGGAGGAAGAGAGAGGAAGAGAAGAGAGAGAAGTTCTTCACACAATTAATCATTCAAATGGTGCTGTAAAAACATTTCTCAGTGCCAGTGACTGTTGTATTCTTACACATTAACCAAGCAGCTCTACCTCTTATTCTGCAGAGCAGCTGTACATATGCCAGTGTAAGTGTGAGATGAACTGAATCTGTTGCATTGTTTGGCTGCAGTATCCCCAGATGTGATGGGGTGGTTTGTGTAATTCATAGATCAGATGATGTGTACAGCATGTGTGTGTGGTTTCACATGCATCTGAGCAACTTTTGAAAGTGAAAGCAGATGCATTTAATTAGTGTGGTGTGCACACAAACTGTCACAAGAGTTATAACAGCACTTTACTACATACTTCACAAGTTTGCAGTTATAAAAAACTATAGCTTTGCATCTTTGATGTAACTGTTTTTAACAATGATCATCATAAGAAATGTTACTTTAGCACCAAACCATGTGACACTGAAGACTGGATTAATGGCTGCTGAAAATTCAGCTTTGCTATCACAGGAAAAATAGTTCTATTAAAAAAAAGTGTGACACTTTATTTATTGCTTTCAAAAGCCTGCATTTATAATGCACTTCATACAGTCGATTGCTCGTTAGTAATGAGCAGGCGGTTCTCTTTCATTAAGTCATGGTTCCACATTTATATAAATAAGAAAAATGTAATAGCAGATGGTGTCCGATCAAAAGGTCTTAAAAGCTTAAAAATAGCTCAATACAATGTTTTGTTTAGTTTATTAATGGCATTGCTCAGTAGAAAAATGGCAAGCTTTGATTTTACTGATAATAAATTGTACTACTTTAACCTTACTCCACTCAAGTAGCATCGGACTTTAAGCTAATACAGAAAGCAGAAAGGACTATTGAGTTTGTAATGGCTATACCTCTTAGTTCAAGAGTTTCATATAGAAGTCTTTACTCTGAAATGTTTACT